GAATTGAGTTCTTTCAATTTGGTTGGCATAATATCTAATCACATTGTATTTGATATGCAGATGATGCACATCTTTTTTGTATCTCATTATGGAGACATTGTTGTGTTGAATATAAAACGTGTTTAGAAAGTGCCAGCAACTCTGCTCTGATCATATTTACTGCACCTCACTGACTCACTGGTCCACACACACTCAGGTTTAAGCCGCTCTTTTTGCAGTGTGACAGAACAGCTTTGTGTGCTTTTGTACTTGTTACATTTGAACCACACATTAAGCATACTCCCTGTAATCTGGTAATACTCACTCACATGGTCTTCGAGTCACAAATCTGACAGCAGTAATGGATCATTCATCACTCAACATCACACAACGTGCTAGTAGGGGCACAACTTCAACTCACTCTTTGAATATGACATAAATCCACACACAGAGATTAGCAGCAATTGAAATGAACACAATATGGGAACACACACAGAGGAGTGAGAAGAGGGGGCTGAGGGTGTGTGTGTTAAAGAGGCTCAGAGAGAACAGTATATAGGGTGAAGGTATGTGGCAGTTGGTGAGTGTTTTGTCTGCAAAGATGAACTATAGAGTCTATATGATACGATGGCTGTTTGACACACACACACACACACACACACACACACACACACACACACACACACACACACACACACACACACACACACACACACACACACACACACACACGGTCTATCTGATACCGCATGTCAGCTGACAGGAATGTTGAGGAGAGGAACAGCCAGCAGGACATAGACCCGGCTCAGACTGTGTGTGTGTGTGTGTGTGTGTGTGTGTGAGTGTGAGTGTGAGTGTGTGTGTGTGTGTGTGTGTGTGCGTGTGTGTGTGTGTGTGTGTGTGTGTGTGTGTGTGTGTGTGTGTGTGTGTGTGTGTGTCTGGACCAGTTGTGTGGATTACATTGTTACTGTTTATTTGATCAGTGATACATGAGTTGTAGGCGGGACAGTCTTTGTGTAACAGGTTCTAATAAGTCTTTGCATCACCGATGCTCTTCATATTTTACTGACTGATATTCCCTGTGTGTACTTTAGAGGTGGATGATAACACTTTGAATTGTGTCTAGGGGAAAACACAATTTCAAAAGGAAAGAAAAGTACCCCAATGAAAAAGTAGAGTGTGACTGCTGATGAATTCTGCTCTGTTAAGGTATCCGGCGGTTGGTACTTGAAATATTGCCACAGGCTTGTGTTTTAGGCTTTATTGCTGATAAAATGTGACTGAGAAGAGGCATTATGTGTGGATAAAGAGACACATGGAACTGATGCACCACTCGCAGAACATCCGCCTGCTTATCAGCCTCCAAGCTGCAGGACTGTCCCTGTGCATAACACCATTTAACGGTTAAATGCTCTTTATAATACTGTAAAACATCTTCCTTTTGTTTAATTCACATTGCTAAATTGTTTTTGTGAATGTTTCTAAACTTTAAATGGTGATACAATTGTGGCTTTGTGGCATATCACTCAATTTAATCTCCTGGCACTACAATATACTGCTGTATTTAGAGACATACAATACTGTAAAGACATTTAAGTTAATATTGTTCAATTCAAATTGCCCAATTGTGGTTTAAATAGTAATACAATTGTGGCTTTGTTTCAATGCTTGCACCACGCATTTAGGATTAATGTCAGACTTGATTTAATGGTAAAGTATTATCGCATCGTATAATAAGTATTCATGTGTAAATGATTCTTAAATTTGACAATAATTACAAAATATGTAACTAACATTCTACACTTAGCTCCTTTCACTCTATGTTATGTATCTCAAGTCATTTTGTGTTGTTTCTCTAAAAGTGAAACTTTGTCTGGCAGGATTCTGACGGTATGGAGGACGGACCGAGCAGACACTGAGTTCTGAACATGTGTAGAGTTTTAAAGTGCTGACTGGATGAGTCTGGAGCTCAGAGATCACCTCCAGGTCACACAGCCGTTCTTTTTCAGCTCCAGCCACAAGTTTTTCATCTCAATGTCTGAATATGTGTGTGTGAGGGAGAAAGACCTACTATTTCTTACACACACACACACTCATACATTCCACACTCACAGGGTCAGACTTCTCAGTGGGGGTGGGCTCAGTTTGAAACATGAAGCTTGGAACTGTGTGTGTGTATATATGTGTGAGTGTGTGTGTATAAGCCTTTCATATGAATATAAAGCTGGGCCAGGGACATGGTTTGGCTGTCCCAAAGGTCCAACATTCTCCAACACACACATGCAGCCAACATTCTGGGGGTTGTTAAGATCCTGAAGACTTACATCCCCCCTCCATTAATCTATCAGCATCTCCTTTTTCTCTCAGGGAATGAGAAAAAAAGAGGGTGAGAAAAAAAACAAAGAAAGAAGGGAAGAAAGAGTTGGCTACAAATTGTCTGGTGAATTAAAGGTCAAGGTTAAAGTTAACCTCATAAATCGTGTGTGTGTGTGTGTTGTGTGTGTGCGTGTGTGTGTGTATG